GTGCCAATATATGTCTAAAAGAATGAGTTAAAAGTTTAGATTTATTGCAAAAATGTGCTTACATTTGTTGACAGCAGGGTTTAAATTGTCCCTCCCAGACTCACATAGATGAGATCCTTGCTGAAGCGTTTCTTTAGGTTGCTGAGAAAAGCCACTTCTGTGGTTTCATCCAGGAGCACAAAGTCCTGAATTCCCACCCGGTCCCTGGCAGTCAGGGCCCCCTCCATGTCGAGCTGACCCTGTGCAACAAGTCATGTCAACCATATGGGAGCTAAATGCACAGCTTCAGAGCTCTGGGAATAAATAAATTCCTAATAAATAGCACAACAATCTCCAGACTTCTATTGTATATTTCCAAAGCAACACTATTAAACATTCTATAGTTTCACATTTGAGTTTGTTAGAGTTAAAAACTTTGTGAATTTATTGGTGAGATTAACATTAAACTTTATAGGAACTAATCTTTGCCAAAGTAATAATAACATGTTAGAACACTAGCGATGCAATATTCATCATTTTCAGTCGTGTAGTTTGACTACAGCAGCTATACGAATGAATGTTTGAATAAATGTCTCCATGGGGGAGGACAGCGCTGAAAAAAGCACCAAAAAAAGCACAAACATGGTGTCTGTTAGTTCTATTGAAATAGGAGGTCTAGAGGTCCTATGTGTCTTTGAAGCAAAGGTCTGTGATTGTGCAGATGAACAGACAGAAGATAATGATCGCTACACAACACACAGGGACCTTGGCCAGCAGCCCATAGTTCCCTTGAGCTGACGCACCAACCAAACACAACACACTGTGCAAATGGACTCGGCGAGCCCAAAACAGCGGCACATTTAAGAAGCATAGTGGGAAAAATTCCACCAATCTGTTTTGCATTCGCAGCACCAACACTTAGACCAAAGGTTTTCACAGCTTTTGTTGGTTTTGTATTTTTTTTCTCTCTCCTTTGGAAGCAGAAGTCCTTTGATTCTCAAGTCTCTCTGTAAAAACATTAAAAAAGATAATCCATTGGATCTAATTGACACAAAGCCCTCCTTCCCCCCTCCTCCCTTGCCTCTATCCTCCGCCTATGGCCCTCATTTCTTCTGAGAAAGGCCAAGTGTTTTTGTCCTGTAAATACCACGGAGCAGAGACAAAAAAGACGTCTTTAAAATGCAGTCTACAATCCATTACACATATTCCCCCTGCATATCCATTCAGTAATTATTCATTAGAAAACATTTAACGTCACAGTGAATTTCACACTAGGCAGTCGAAACACAATAGAGGAGATTTGGCCTATTTTGGGGTGAGGAGTTGGGGAGGGGTTAGCTGTACAGAGGAAGGGTGAAGGCGAAGGACGGAGGAGGAGGGGAGCAGTATTTGTCTGATCTGAGAACCTCTGAAACGGGGCCGTCTTGAGACAACGGGGACAGACTAAATAGTGCAGTAACGGTCTGTGCCCCGCTGCTTGCTGTGACACTCATTTAGTGTGCTTTAGTGTGCCCCGAGGGCAAACAATAGAGGCTTGTTCTTAGCAATCCTGCGCTGTAATTTGGACTTCATTACTTTGCTCATACGGGGCCCCATGGAAGGATAGAGGAGGCTAGTCAGATGAGAGTGTTTTTTTCCACCTGTCAGCCCCGCACCCCCAAATGCTCTCACCCCTCTCCTCAACAATACCCCTCACCCCGTGTCCCCACCAATAACCCTCACCCGACCCCCTTCCCATAGCCCCCCACCCTCCCACCCACCCACTTTAAGCCAATGAGACAGGTGAACAATATCATTGAAGGAACCCTTTTTTGGACGTCAGAATCAATCTGGCGATGTGATGGTAGTGGTGCTGCTGTGGGGTATCTGTGACACCCCCTTCCTTCATGGGAACAAACTTCTCTCAGGGCAGCACAGGCAGACAATGTGCTGGGACAGCGTGACTTAGGGATCTGCCATACAGTATTACAAGTAATAACATGAACAGATAAGCTCCTGTCAAGAGGAGGATTAATGAATTCAGCGGTGATAATAATGCTAATGTTTAAGGTTTTGGGACTAAATCTAAAGGTTTGCTGTTTTCCATTCAGGGTTCCTTTGGTGTCCTGCAGGTATTTCTTTTTAAGAAAGCTGTCTGCAGCAAGCAGATGTGTTTCTAATGACACTGCACTAGAAAGGCTGAACACTGAATGGGCGTTTTTAGCCCAGGAGGACAAGAGAATCTGAGCTGAAGGAGGCACCTGACTGTTGAAATAGCTCTGCTTGTGCGTGTGTGATTTGTAGTTTCTAACAAGCCAAATGGCCCAGATTGTAATTCTAGTTATAATTAAACAATAGACTTCCCAATCTCGTGTATAGCAGCGGAAAGAATGATTATGTAATGAATCCCTTAAAGCCACGGTCCGATCAGGTAGATTACCTTGCTACCTCAGAGCACAAGCAATTGTATTTTAATTAAGAGATGGTCCCTCATCTTGGTCTAGAGTGTCAGTGTTGCCTGAGACAGAGTGATCTCATCTGTGTGAGGAGTGGAGGTAGCTTTAGATGAGGGAGGGAGGGGAAGCAGCTGCTAAGACATAGCAATTTACCAGCTAACACTTATCTGCCCCCTCAAAGAGGATTCTACCTGATTATATGATACATGATAAGTAGGATCTCCACATGACCCCAAAATGTCACTTCAGGTCTTCTCTGCACAGCTTTGACCAGGGGCCTGTTTTCCAAAAAGCATCTTGTAGCAATACTTTAAATGTGCTTTCAGATCAAGAGTCAGATGAGAAGAGTGGTACCACTTTCATATCTGTGTCTTAAATGTGGGGCTAGACAGTTATCCAAGCTTAGGACGAGGGAAACAGGTGGCCTGGCTAAATCAGAGGGCAACAAAATCTGCCAGCCAGACTTATTAAACCAATGTGCTGTTTGTCTAATTTGTACAAAATATGAAGTTCGAAACATGAGCAGTTAACACACAACTAGTGTAATCTGCCAAAAGTCCCTGCTCCAAATTGGAAATGTTCACACATTTTTGCACACATGTAGCAAATTGTGATAAAACATGTTGGTTACTGGAGGTGCTGGTAGGCACATTTTGTCAAGCTGATCCAACTAATGTAGCGTTCCTCCAATTTCTACTCTTTGTGCTGAGCTAAACTAATCGGCTCCTGGCTCTAGTTTAAAATTTATGACAGTGCTATCAATCTTCTCGTCTAACTCCCTACTAGAAAGCATGTTTTAAAGATGACAAGGCGTTTTTTTTTTTTCCAAGGTGGTGATCGTATATCCAAGCCCACAGACTAACAATGGCCTAAAAGACCATCTTAAGTGACTAAATAGAGCCCAGGACTGAACGACACTCACAGAAAATACTGTTAATTCACTCTGCACTGCAAAGCTTTTTCTACCAACTTTGAAACGGTTGGCAGCACCTTCAGCTACCGAAAGGTGTTTTGAAATGCAGCAAAACTCTAAGACTGGTGTCCAACACAAACCTGCATTTTGAAGCTGTGTTGTTCTGCTGCCAGTGAGGCTCCAAGCTGAAGTGATGTCCTTCCCTCCAGAGAAGTTAGACAAAAATAGTGTTTCCTCCTGTGTCTGCTTGCATGGAGGCAGTCAGTGAATCTCTGGGTTCTTGACAGTCATGGCAAAAGTCAAGTTTGTTTCAGGCTAGTACAAAAACACATTGACTATCTTCTCTGCTAGTAGCTCATTCATGCAGCATGCTGTGGTAGTACAACCGAGGTGATGCTGCTTCTCCACATCATCTGTACCCAGGCTGAAGGCACTGTGGGCCGAGTGCTTAATCATTCATGTCGTGGGAGGTGGAGGGACAGAGAGATCTTATTCAGTGCTTACCTGGGTATCTACTGCTCTACTGAGTGTAACATAACAATACAGAAACAAGATCCAAACTAGACCAATCCAACCATCCCCCTTTCCCTCTCTCCTTCTTCTCTGCCTTCCCTTCTCTCTTTCTCTCTCTCCATGCTCCATTACAGCAACAGCAGAAAACTCCCAGTCCAGTTCTTCCAGCTGGCACAGTCCAGGTCTGCTTACTGATCTTTGATTACATGGGTACATTACAGGCTAATCACTGAGTGCTTTATTGCTCAGTATAACAATGTTTGTCCAGGGAACAGCATTGTTTTGAGCTGCAGTCTGAGCTGCCAGTGCTTATAGTGCTTTTGGAAAATGTTAACAAGGCTGGTGCCCAAAAGCAATTACCAGATTTGTTGCCTCAGTGAACACAGTTATCGGGGCCTTCAACTGAAATTCCTATGATAGTACTGAAATGACATACTATGAAGTATTTTAGAGGGTTTTTTTGCATGTAGTAGGGAACTGAATGTGTAAAAATGAGAGGAAAGGAAGCTGACGTGGAGGGGATATGGAAATAAGAGTGTTGGCCAGAGCTGAACTGTGAACTTTTCAGTTTGTGGTCAACTCCTTGACCCTGTTCAGGACTTTCATGTTACCGTACGTAGAAGGTCTTTCGGGGTCCATTGGACCCCAAGAAAGAGTATGTGCAAAATATTTGTTGGTACTCATTATAGACTTTTATACAATGTTAAATAAGCTTTCTGATAAGTTGACGTATTTTTGGTTCCAAATGCATGACAAATGTCCCTCTTTTTCTGTTTAAAAAAAAAAATCTTCAAAAACAAAAAAACAATACCTGTCGCCTAAACCAAATGGCCTGGGGTCCAAAAGACCCCAAAAGTCCTGAATAGGGTTAAAAGTGTGTATAACCAGGGTGCCTCATAAGTCTTCAAGTTCAGCTTTTCAAGAGTTTTTGTTCATCACATGCTTATATAACATGAGCAATATAATGCAAAGTGACAGTTCAGTGAGGATCTTCAATAACAGCAACACATGAAAAAAAACATTCCTTAAAAATAAAAAGTCCAAAATTAGGAAGCGTACAATGATTGTGAAACTAAAATGCAGCATACATTGTGTAAGAGTTGCAGTCGTGTGTGTGTGCATATGTGTGCATACATCTATATGTCATATACATATTTACATTGTACCAGTGTGCTGTTGTTATTAGAGATGAGGTGCTATGCTGATGCTGATGTTTGGCAGCTATAATGTTTTCTCTTCATGTTCAGTTTAGCTTGTTAGCACATTAACAGGCATTTACCATCAAATGTTATTCAAAAACCAAATGGCAATGTACCCAATAGTCGAGGAGATCACAATGTAACATTAGGCTTAATTATCCGTGAACCATGTGTATCTATAGAACAAC